AAAGTGGCTGTACAAGCTGGCACTCCCACCAGCAGTGGAGAAGTGTTCCCCTTTCTCCACATCCTCTCCAGCATAAACTGTCATTGGTGTTTTTGATTTTGGCCATTCTGACAGGAGTAAGATGGTATCTCAGAGTTGTTTTGATTTGCATATTCCTGATGACTAAGGATGTTGAACACTTTCTTATGTGCCTTTCAGACATTTTGGATTCCTCTATTGAGAATTGTCTATTTAGTTCTGTACCCCACTTTTTAATTGGATTATTTAGTGTTTTGGAGACTAGCTTCTTGAGTTCTTTGTAAATTTGGAGATCAGCCCTCTGTCAGATGTGGGGTTGGTGAATATCTTTTCCCAGTCTGCGGGCTACCATTTTGACTGTGTCCTTTGCCTTACAGAAGCTTCTGAGTTTCAGGAGCTTCCATTTATTAATTGTTGATCTGTGCTACTGGTGTTATGTTCAGGAAGTGATCTCCTGTACCAATTCATTCAAGGGTATTTCCCACTTTATCTTCTAATAGGTTCAGTGTGGCTGGATTTATGTTGAGGTCTTTGATCCATTTGTACTTAGGTTTTGTGCATGATGATAGATATGGATCTATCTGCAGTCTTCTACACACTAGCATCCAGTTATGCAAGCACCATTTGTTGAAGATGCTTTGTTTTTTCCATTGTATAACTTTAGCTTCTTTGTCAAAAATCAGGTGGTCGTAGGTGTGTGGGCCAATATCAGTGTTTTCAATTTTATTCCATTGGTCTATCTGTCTGTTTTTGTGCCAATACCAAGCTGTTTTCAGAACTATAGCTCTATCATAGAGCTTGAAATCAGGGATAGTGATGCCTCCGGAAGTTCCATAGATTGCCTTTATTATGTTTAGGTATGTTCCTTGTATCCCTGTTCTCTCTAAGACCTTTATCATGAAGAGGTGTTGGATTTTGTCAAAGGCTTTTTCAGCATCTAAGGACATGATCATGTCATTTTTTCTTTCAGTTTTTTTTTTGTATGCTGCATTACATTGATAGATTTTCATATGTTGAACCATTCCTACATCTCTGGAATGAAACCTACTTGATCATGTTGGATGATTTTATTATGAGTACTTGTATTTGGTTTGTCAGTGTTTTATTGAGTATTTTTGCATCAATGTTCATGAGCAAGATTGGTCTGTAATTCTCTTTCTTAGTTGTGTCCTTATGTGGTTTGGGTGTTAGGGTAACTGTGGTCTCGTAAAAAGAATTTGTTAATATTCCTTCTGTTTCTATTGTGTGGAACAATTGAGGAGTATTGATATTAGCTCTTCTTTGAAATTCTGATAGAATTCTGAGCTGAAACCATCTGGCCCTAGGCTTTTTTGGTTGGGAGACTTTTAATGACTGTTTCTATTTCCTTAGGGTTATAGGTGTATTTAAACTGTTTATCTGGTCTTGATTTAATTCTGGTGTGTGTTACCTATCAAGAAAGTTGTCCATTTCTTTTAGATTTTCCAATTTTGTGGAGTACAGGTTTTTGAAGTGTGACCTAATGATTCTCTGAATTTCCTCAGTGTCTGTTATGTCCCTCTTTTCATTTCTGATTTTGTTAATTTGGATCTATTCTCTCTGCCTTTTGGTTAGTTTGGATAAGGGTTTGTCTATCTTGTTGATTTTCTCAAAAACCAACTTTTTGTTTCATTGATTCTTGTATGGTTCTCTTTGCTTCAATCTTACTGATTTCAGCCTTGAGTTTGATTATTTCATGCATCTACTCCTCCTGTGGCCATGATGTCTCTTCACAATAATAGAAACCCTAACTAAGACAGTATGTATGTCTTTTGTACCAGGATCCTACCCTTTAGTTCTAATAGATAGTCAAGAGGATTGACAGGAGATTGTATTGATTGGAGAACTTCTGGAGTCTCCCTGACATAATTGTGAGATCTATGTTCAGAACTCCACTGTTTCTGAGAGCAGCACCATCCTTATAGGGTGACTCCTTTTAATCCTTCCTCTGTGTTTTTATTTAGATGACAAGAAAGTAAGCCTGCATATGGTTTGTTCATAATGTGGGACCCAGAATAGCTTGGCTATATTGCTGCCATGACAGCCTCAACAAAAACCAGCCAAGAGACTAGGCCTGAGTTTTGATTTAGTGGCAGGTAGCACAAGGTTCCAGGAAAAGCCGCCAGCGCACTGGCCAGCATCTAAGGGGAAGTAACTGACATTACAAATATTCCAACTGTTAGATAAAAGTCACCGAGTGTCCCTCAGCCCACAGCACGCCTATTACCTTTCACAAAGACACCCCTAGTTAAATGTCAGCCAATCAGGACAATCAGGATCTTGTACCTTTGGAGATCCCTGCACCCCAACCTTTACTATGATAAAAAACAAAAAACATACCCTGCCTGATCTAGGCACTCTATGATTGTAATCCTGTTTGGGACACATGGAAGGTCCAAATTTGAGCTTGAATAAAAGCTCTTTGGTTTTGCATACAAGTTTGGATTCCATGGAGGTTTTTTGGGGGTATCCTATGAACTGGACATAACACATACTCTTTTTATCTCTATTATTCCTTCCTCTGTTCCTCCACTCTCACCTCCTCAGTCCTCCCCACTCCATCTCCTTGCTTAAGCAAGTCATACAACTCACAGTATTCTCCCTCTCTACTTTTATTTTACCTTATGTTTGGCTATCTCCACTCCCTGAATGAACACCCCCAATTCTTTCTTCCTAGTTTCCTGACTGCCACAAATACTTTGTGTTAAGCAAATAAGGCCTGAAGAATTATACCTATGCTCTACATAAGTAAAAGCAAGCAGCATTTGTTCTTCTGGGCCTTGTTTACCCCACTCAGTACATCTTTATTTACATTCTACACATTTCTCTGCCAATTTCATTTTTCCTAACAACTGGATAATATTCCATTATGCATGTACCATTTTTTAATTATCCATGCATCAGTAGAAAACAACCATAGGTTAGGGAGAAAGATTGGAGGCATAGACTATAAATAGCTGCATGTCCTTTCTATTCTTTGTAATGACAAACTTAGGATTCAGAAAAAGAAGGAAAACAAACTCTGACCCTAGAGGACATATAATGATTAACACATCACCATTACAGTAGAAGGTGAAGAAGGAAGGTTTCGGAAAAAGCATTGGTATGGTTGAAGGATCAGGTTGGGAGTAGAAGAGTAGAACAGTGGAAGAGCTGCCTTCTGAGGAACTCTTCCTCAAATACCTTTTATGTTTCCTGTCTGAAGTCTGCAAACTAGAATTTCTCTGGGGGAAAACAATAATCTCTCTTTTTAAGTGAGGGTAAGTACTCTGGAGACAAAACCATCACCTCCACTTGCCTTCTTAGATATAATCTCCATAAACTGTTGGGACCCATCTTAACACTTGATGGATGAATAATCTTTCAGGACCTCATTTTTCTAATTTTGCTTTATCCCCCCAGCAACAGAAATTCCTCAAGGACAATGCTAACAAACATCTTTTTCAGAATTTACCAACTTTGAGCTCAGGAAGTGCTTCTGGAATTAATGATTAAGTTCATGATGGGTATTTGGGAAATGTATAATTATCTCACCCAGATAAAGAAGTCACTGAGACATAGAGAGGGTAAATTGTTAACTACTTATGTAGTGAGATTCACCTGGACCCTGAGACTGCTGAGTCCATTAGCCCATCCTTCAGTATCCCTGAGTCATGACTGGAAAGTGGTTGGCATCTAACCAAACAGGTAAAAGACCTGTATGACAAGAACTTTGAGTCATTAAAAAAAAAGAAATTAAAGATACCAGAAAACGGAAATATCTCCCATGCTCTTGGATAGGTAGGATCAACCTAGTAAAAATGGCAATTTTACCAAAAGTAATCTACAGATTCAATGCAATCCCTATCAATATCCCAGCACAATTCTTCATAGACCTTGAAAAGACAGTTCTCAACTTTATATGGAAAAACAAAAGACCAGGATAGCCATAAGAACCCTGTACAATAAAGGAACATTAGGAGGCATCACTTTCCGGGACTTCAAGTTCTACTGTAGAGCTATAGTTCTGAAAACAACTTGGTATTGGCACAAAAACAGACAGATAGACCAATGAAATCAAATCAAAGACCCTGAAATTTATCCACACACCTATGAACACCTGATTTTTGACAGAGATTACACAATGGAAAAAAGAAAGCATCTTCAACAAATGGTGCTGGAATTACTGGATGCTGGCGTGTAGAAGACTGCAGATAGATCCATGTCTATCACCACGGACAAAACTTAACTCCAAATGGATCAAAGACCTCAACATAAAGCCAGCCACACTGAACCTGTTAGAAGATAAATTGGGAAATCCCCTTGAATGAATTGGTACAGGAGATCACTTCCTGAACATAACACCAGTAGCACAGACATGGAGGTCGACAGTTAATAAATGGAAGCTCCTAAAACTGAGAAGCTTCTGTAAGGCAAAGGACACAGTCAACAAGACAAAATGGCAGCCCACAGACTGGGAAAAGATATTCACCAACCCCACATCTGACAGAGGGCTGATCTCCAAAACATACAAAGAACTCAAGAAGCTAGTCTCCACAACACCAACAAATCCAATTAAAAATTGGGATACAGAACTAAATAGACAATTCTCAATAAAGAAGTCTAAAATGGCGGACAGACACTTAAGAAAGTTGTCAACATCCTTAGCCATCAGGGAAATGCAAATCAAAACAACTCTGAGGTACAATCTTACATCTATCAGAATGACTAAGATCAAAAACACTGATGACAGCTTACATTGGAGAGGATGTGGAGTAAGGGGAACACTCCTCCATTGCTGGTGTGAGTGCAAACTTGTACAGACACTTTGGAAATCAGTATGGAGGTATGGGAGCCAAATCTCAGGGCTTGGCATGAGATCCTAAGCCATGCTTGGCAGGTCACATAGTTAACCTTTACATAGCAGCTCCTTAGAACCTCAGCTCAAGAAAAAGAAACAACTTGACCCAGTCCTCCACCCACAGGCTCAGTCACTTAAGCAACCCTTCCTGGACGTCTTATTCATAAACTCTTTACCCTGCCAAACATCCTCTTTGTGGTTCCTAATATCCTGCCTATACCAACACCTGATGTACAAACAACCCATTCTGCCCCTCCCAATATCCTGACTATATAAGCTAGCCTGAGAAAAGTAAAGTTTGCCACTTGATCAGAATCCTGTCTTGTGGTCGTTCTTTCTGCGTCTCTTGTCCCCATTCCCTGTCCCTGACTCTCTTGCCCCAAGTTGATGTCCTGCAGGTCGGGGCAACTGGCGCCCAATGTGCGGCTAGATAGAGTTGGGGATCTGGGAACTTCAGTGCTCATTAGAGGGACGGGCCCATCCATGCAGTGAGTGTCCACGACAAGGTCGACTGTGAGCCTCATTTGGAAGAAGACCCAGCAGCCTGCCCAGCGCTTGGGACTTTCAGTTCATGAGCACCACCTACGTGGAAAAGGTGAGTAATGGGACAAGCATTTAGCAAGGAAGATTTATTTCTTTTTGGGATCACAGAATCCCTCAAGACGCAGGGAACTTGGGTTAAGAAAAAAAAATAGTTGATAAAATTAGCAAGGAAGATTTATATCTTTCTGGGATCAAAGAATCCCTCAAGGCTCGAGAAACTCAGGTTACAAAGAAAGAAACAAACAAAAAAGTTCTTCCTCTTCATGGGGGGGTCTTTGTCCATGGTTCCCCTAGGAAGGAACCATTAATGAAAAGAAATGGGCTAGAGTTGGCAACTGCCTCTAAGAGTTGATCTTCTGACAACATGGCAGACCAGATGGGTTCATAAAGACAAAAAGTGAACAGTACAGTGTGGGATGGGACCAGGTTAGGGAAGGGTCACTAGTGAGAAGCCCATGTCAGGTTGGTTTGAAAAGTAAAAGAAAAAAGAAAAAAGCTTCACATGACCTTTTTAATGTTATTATGTTTGAAACTGCCAGTGCTTCTTTGTTTCTGCACCTGGCTTGGGGATCCATGGCGAGTTTGTCCACTATTACAGTGGCCAATGGTGGGGGAGAGTTCAACATTCTCCTTGTCAGTTCCTGGGGAATGCTGGGAAGCTGCAAGTGAGTTCATGGAGTTAGAGAGGTTAAGGTTGACAATGATACTAAGCTGGCTCTGCAATGCAGGAGGCTAAGGAGATGTGGATGTCAGGAGGGACTCCTATTATGAGACTTTTGGTCCCGAAAAAATCCCTGTCCAAATTGCAGCTCTTGGCGTTTCCACTTTTACCTTTTGCATGAGCCAGAAATGTTTTCAGTAGTTTCTTTTCTTCTCTTTTTTTCCAAAAGGAATGGAGATGTAAATCTAATATAATGCTTAGGAATAGAGCATACATGGGAGATGTAAGTGAGACCTGGCAAAGAATTGATCTGTGTAGCTAACACCTCTGGATCTGTAATTATGCTCAGAGGCCTTTCTAAAAGCTGTCTGAAAGCTGTCCTGTCTTCTCATTCTTCTCACTTAACCATTCATTGACCAAGTGCTTCTTTGTTTTGGGGTACTTTGTGGGACATTTATTAAGTGCTGGAATTTCCACTTCAGTAATTATTTCTGCTGCTGCAGTTTCTGTTTCTGGTTCTACAGCAAGTACAGTGTTTTCAATATTATGTTGTGACGTAACTTCAATGTCAGGAGAAGATGGCTGTATGTCTGAACACATGCTCACAGTCCTGTGTCTCTGACACTGCTGTCCAATGTCCAGATCAACCCATTCTACACATCCCCTGAAAATGACCGTGATGACACCGACTCAACAATTGGCTTGGCTGGCTTCATTCATATGGGAAAATAACCTCCTGTTACTCCTTTTTGCTTCCTTCTACCCATTCCTACTACTTCTCCATGGTTAACCACCCTCCTCCCTTCCTTCCTTGGACCTTTGATAGGGCCCCTCTTGCTAATCTCCTTTGGCCCTTGGGCCTTTAATCAACCTGTGGCCTTTGTCAAGCAACAAGTGGACTCTGCCACTAAGTCTGTCCTGATACAATACTTAAGCCCTCCTCTTCCCAGGCCCCTCTAATATAAACCATCTCTGGCTGTTACAGCCACAGAGGAACTAACCCACTTCCCCACGGCCAGCTTCAGAGGTGCAGACCTGGATGGTACTGCAAGGAGACCTCGTCTTCTGAGGAATATGACTGTGTGCAATGGGGTCGC